TTATATTTAAGATTTGGTTTGTATCATTATTACATTAATGACAAGTTTGGTCTTTTTATAACATTTAAAAAATATAGAGTATTTATTTATTATCAAATATGCAGAGATAAGAAACACTAGTAGATCAAATAATGATATTGTTATTAACATAGAATTAGAATTAAAAATATAAGCATATAACATTTATTTATTATTTAAAGAATGCTAGTAAAGCAAATAACATCAAATATTGTTATTAATATAGAACTGGAATTGAAAAAGGTGAATATAAAACATTCATTTATTATCAAAAATCTGCAGAAATAGGTTATAGCAAAGGAATAAAAAGAAATTATAATTACAACAATAATTACAATATATATACTTATTGGAATATTTGATATGTCATAGTTACATTATTATTTTTTATAATACTTAATTGCATAATTATAAGAACAAAAACATGGCTTATCTTTTTAAATTTCACATTGAAGTATTAAGCATTTATAATTTAAGAAGGTATTATTTATTTTGATTTTAATTAAATTACTTTTAATTTTATATGTATAACATCTGATAGGTCTTAAATATCTTGTTAAAGTAAATAAAGCCTTCTACTTTTTTATTTAATGAAAGTCTATTTGTAAGACTATATAGTTAGTATTAAGTAAATTTAGAGTTATTTTTAGTTTATGCTAATAGTTAACATGATTTTTTAATAATAAATAAAATATTTTATTATTATTTAACTTTAATAAAATTAAATAATTTCTATTAATTTTTGATAACCTGTTAGTATAAAAATATTATATAATATGTTATACACAAAAAATAATTGTTTACACCAATAATTACTTATTAATATTAATATAATCATAATATTATATTAAAAAAACTCAAAAAGATCTTTTTAAGTTTAGTGACTTGTTGTTAAATATTTTTTGCCAATCATTTGAAATTGCTACAGTATACTTCTTAATTGTATTCAAATATGTGTTTATTAAAAAACCAATTGCAATATAAATTTGAAAAATATAATATAATAATTTTAAAGTTATAAAGATCTTTTAGCATGTCAATATGCATGAAAAGCTTTTTAAATAGTTAAGCATTAAAGAAATAAATTTGATAAATATGCAATAATAATCTCAATAATGTAATACTAAAATCATTAATAGTATTTTTTTCAAACTTCTGTATTATTATATTGGAATCTTCTATATTTATATTGACAAAATGAATCATTAAAAAATTGCATACTTACTATATTTGAAAATGCTAACTTTAGATAACTAATTTAGAAAACATAATCAAATTAGTATTATTAGCAATAATAATGCATTCTAAATTAGAGCAAAAGAACTTGGGTTGTATTTTTTTTAGTGTACTTAGATATATTAAGTAAAATACATTATATAAATTAATTCTGCTTATATAAAATAAATTTAACATTATTTTATGAAATATATTTTATATTAAAATCTTCTATATTTATATTAATAAGAAAAACTACAGGTTGGGCCCTATAGCTTAACAGTAAAGCTGCTAACCCTCCACAGACTAGGTCAACGGTTCAAGTCGAGCTGGAGGCAAAATCTTAGAATTTTAACTCTGTAACCTAAATAGGAGCCAAATTAGATGTGAAGCACTGTAGAAAAAGTCCCAAGATGAAGTACAAGGATGGATTAGGAATTTCTGGAAGGAGACTGACTTTGCAAAGAGAAGGCACTATGTGTAACAGTGGCGTCACAGAAGGTACAGCTACACAACGGTATTGCGCAAGTAAGTCCCTAGGAGACAGGACAGCACCAACATCTCTGTATCCAACTTACAGAGTACTTGATTTAGAGGGTAGTACTGGGTAGCTATAACTGGAGTGGTGAGCGATGTGGTGCATGCAAAGAAGATCTGTGGCAAAGGATTGGTCTAACCAGAATTGGAACATCTTAGGCAGGTACCCTTAAAAGTACTTAAAAAATATTCTCCAAAGTGGTCGTACATCACAACTTAGATGATGGGCACCATACCTGTACGCAATTAGTTAAGGTTTCAGGCCCCTTTGCAACACCAAGCTAGTAGTACATCAGTACGTGGTTGGCAATACACCCACAGGAAAGCCTGCAGGAAGCATATGCGATCAAGTCGCAAACCAAACTAACTATAGGAGTACATCCGAAAGGGTACGTGGTAAACTGCAGATTGATAATTCAAGATCTCGATAAATCCAGCCATGCCATCAGAGTATTAAAGTATATATAGTATCAGGCTGTATACATCAGATTGGTAGCAATAAAAGCAAGAAACTGCCAGAGTCAACCAATCTGGGAGAAAAAATGAATTACTGCAGGTAGTAGATAGGTGGGCTGCTGTTAGATCAAAAAGGTAAGAGGAAATTAGGGTACAACAAGGTGATTTACAGCCTTTCTGGTAGTTTAGTAATAATAATTGAAATACATAGTGAAGGTTACAAAAAGAAGTACATAGGGAAATGTAGATATAATGTCACGTTGGGTGACTAGAAATAGTAGCACAAATGTAATATAATCATATATATAATAGTAATGCAAAAAGCTAATAAAATATAGGTTACAATTTGGCATTATAAAAAAAAAAAAAAAAAAAAACAAAATAAGAAAAACTACTAAAATAATATACTGTGAGCCCAATTTTTGGGGTTACAGGTGCCCGAATCAGGGTGACGATCCTTACCCAATCCAAAGTTACATGAAAAGTAACAGAAATGTTACTTATGGTACTTATGGCACTTATGTCACTTCTGCTACTTCGGCCATATATGTGATAAATAGCATATTGGCCTTTTATGACATTTAGTGAATATATGAAGTATCTGGCATTTATAGCATAAATTGATTATGAATGTAAATAAGACGTTTATTATAAATAAAGGGCATTTCCACCCTAAGAATAACAAGTAGTTCCTTATACAAATAAAACTTCTAGTATAAATAAATATCTGATCTATAATAAAAGTATAAGTGCAATAATAAACTAATAAACCATCATTAATCCCACTGTTGTTCATATTGTTCACTTATTTATAAACCACTAAACTCGCCATTGATTATTTGTTGCAAGTTACATAACAAGACCATTAATGAAATTGAAGAAGTTCCAACCCCGATTTGATGTAGTGTAAGCTTGGATTGAGGAAGGTAAAGAGAAGATAAAGAGAAGACAAAAGAAGACAGAGAGTTAGTAGAAGAACAGATTAAAGGGAAGACATAGAGAAAAGACGAGTACTTACCTATGGATAAACTATCTGCCAAATCTAACATGCCTATTTCAACTTAACCACATAGGTTACATAAGAGTTGGATTAGTTTAGTGACAGATTCGCCAATTTCTGGAACCACAATACTGATTATATAAACATCTAAGCATTAATCCAAAAAGATATTAGTACTCTTAGCAATAATAACATGTCTTAAATTAGAGTAATAAGAACTTTTAATAAGTTTAACTAGTTTTAGAATATTAAATATGAATTAACTTGCTAGTACAAAATTTAGAATTCTTAACAATGTTCACTGTATTAAGACTTTTTATAATTTATATATAAACTTCTGAATTCCAATCCAGAACTTGTAATGTCAAGATTTATTGATTGCTTGTTTTAAAAATAAAGAAAATTATATAAAATCACTTATTATTCTTTTTTTATTTATTAATTTATTTATTGTAATAACAAATTTTAAACCTTCAATTATTATATCTAAAACACTCTATCTTATTATTGATTTTTCAGATAAGTCTCTTATTAAAATGCCTAATGTTCTCTTTAACAAATTGAAAAATCTGTCAATTCTAATTGCTTTAAAGAGCAATGATCAAAAGAGAAAAAGCTCTTTGTAACTTAAGAATGCTCTAATAAGCTTAGTGATAATTCTAAAACATTAAAGCAAATCAAATATCAGCTCATTTATAATAACTTTTTGCAAATTATTTAACTTTTTTTTTATTTAATTATTAAATATTATACTAAGTTTTTAAATTATGATTTGTTAAAGTGAATTGTTACTAGTCAACAACCATTTTCAATAGTTGAAGAGAACTCACTTGTAAAATTTGTTAACAATCTAGACCCATACTACAAAATATCTCAATAAGAAACATTCACTATTTATATAAGAAATCAATTTGATCTGATAAAAATAAAAATTAAAAATATTTTAAAATCTAGTCAAAGTAAATTAACTTTTATCTTATACATTTGGAAAACTTGTAATCAACAACCTTTTTTCAGAATTATAGCCCATTGAGTTAATGCTAAATGAAAAATGAAAACTTTTCTTATTGACATTATGCTTCTGCCTAATGTTTATACTAAAGAACACCTTAAAAGGAAAATTCTTAAGCTAATTAAAGATATGAACATAAAAGAACAATCAATTGGCTTCACTAACAATGACATTGAAAATAATTTGACATGTTTACATTTCTTTCAAAACCATATAAGTCCTAACTTTGTATATAGCTATTGTGTAGTATATATTATTAACCTTATAGTTAAAGCAAGTCTAGAAAAATATTTCTGTCTAATTTAAAAGTGTAATATTTTTGTAATATAATAAACTTACATTTGGTTTTAGAGGAAATAAAGAGAATTTTTGCTATTTTAAATTATCCATTTCTCTATTCTTTGATCAATTTAGAAACAAATTAAAAATCTACTTACTTAATATTAGAAAGTCTTAATAAAATCTATGTCATTACTAATAGCTTATTGCAGTCTCATTCAACTTTGAAAAATAGCTACTTAGAAGATGAAAATTGAATACTTATCAAAGAAATAATGCATCTTCTTAAACTATTTAGTGAAGCAACTTCAATTCTTTTAGACACTTCACTATTCTTTTTTAGATCTTTATGGTTAATATTTATAGGCCTTTTATTGCATCTTAATCAGTCTGTTTTTTGGGGGTTTTTTTTTTAAAACACAAATTAACATGCTTTTATTAGATTATATTAAAAATATATTATATTATTTATATATATAAAGCTTAGATTTCTTTAATGAATCTAGCTATTTTTAACTTTCTTTTTTTATACAACATGCTTAAAATTTTAACATTTTTTTTTAACCTAATTTCTATTACTCTTCTAATTTTTTCTTCAGAAGTGACAGTATTTTTCTATCTTGTTTGAATATACCATAGCCAGATTTCATATATAACTGTCAAATATAACCATAAAGCTGTTTTTGTAGTTATATATTTGAAATATTAGACATATTAAAAATTTTTTCTATTGTAGTAAGAGAAGCTTCTTCTAATGAAACATTTAGAAGCTTGTAACCATAGGTCCATATAATTTTACTAATTCTACAGTTTAAAGTGAAGTATTCTATAGTTTGTTCTTATCCTTATAGTTAGGACAGCTTTTATTTATATTTGGATTGATATGTACCAACTGATAGCCAAGTAGAAGAGCTCTGTTTTGCAACCTCCAAAATATATCTTTTTTTTTATTTTGAATTTCTTTAGTAAATAACTAGTTAAAATAGTCTATTGAGTGTTTTTGTACTTCTAATGATGATTAAGAGACTGTAGACTTTATTGATCATATTTTTAAAAACTCTGTTGCTTTCTTGACTAAGAATTGATTTTCTAACTTATTCAATATTTTTAGCTCTGATAATGACTATGGCCAGTTGTTGTTTGTAATAACTTTGCCCTCTAGTCTCTTCCAAGCTATTAAATAAGGCTTTCAAGCATCTGGCCAACTCTTTAGTTTTATTGTACTTTGATTTAGTGCTTCTAAAACTGTTGTTTTTCTTTTATTTTGCAACTGTTTTGAGATTGCAATTCTTTTATACTCCACCTAAAGGCTATTAGATGTTAGCAATTTAATTCAAATAGAGATAAGTTTAGAGTCTAAAATATTCTTAAGAACTGAAGCTGCCAACCCTCTATTCTTAAGATTTAGCTAAAATGTTAAGTATTTAGGTAACATTTTTGACTTGTTCTTAATTCATCCTGAAATAAAAATATTAATTTTGTTAAGCTGCTTTCTGCTTAGAGAAAGCAAATATGCCAAGTACCAAATTTTAGAAATTAATAGTGCTTTGGCAATTAGAATTTTTTCATTAAAGAAGAGATTTCTCAGTTTAAGCTTTTCAATTTTGTGTTTAATACTATCTGTTAGTTCTTTCTATAATCATTTTTTGAAGTTGTCTCTTGAGTCAACTTTGTATCCTAGAATTCTGAGTAAATTATTATTGCTGACTATTTTAAAATTTTGTTAATTGGGTAGTTTCTCACTATACACCATGCTTGTAAGAAGAATTATTTCTTAAACCATATTCCAGGCAAATTTGCCTAGAAAATTAAATTGTATTTAGTATTTTTTAAATAAAACAATAATTTATTAATGATATAGAATATACTTTGCTTATAAAATATATTCTTAAAAACATATTTTATAAACTTTATTATAAAACTTTTTTTAAA